TGTCCACTACCCCCCCCCCCCCCTGTCCACTTCCCACTCCCCTGTCCACTACCCCCTCCCCTGTCCTCTACCCCCTCCTGTCCACTACCCCTCCCCTGTCCTACTACCCCTCCCCTCCCCCTCCCCCACCCCTGTTCCCTACCCCCTCCCCCACCCCTGTTCCCTGCTTCTCCTTTCACAAGGAGGCAATCCTCTGACTAGGGCTGAAAGAGATCAGCTGCAGAGAGAAAAGAGAGAGAAAACAGCGTGATTGTGGCTAAAGAAATCTGTAATAACAAAAGGCTTGACCCCCACACCCACTCACTGTGTGGAAGGTCGGAGGGGAAGCGGGGTGATAAGAGCAGCTGTCAGGGATAATAGGCACCTGTGAGAGAGTGGTCCTCTGTAGCTCAATTGGTAGAGCATGGCGCTTGTAACGCCAGGGTAGTGGGTTCGATACCCGGGACCACCCATACGTAAAAATGTATGCGCACATGACTGTAAATCGCTTTGGATAAAAGCGTCTGCTAAATGGCATATTATTATTATTATATTATTATTATTCTTATTATATTATTAGAGAGAGGAAGAGAGGGAGAGGAGGATGGAGGACAGGGAGTGCAGGACATGGGATGATTGTTCAAAGACAGGGAAATGTGGAGATAATAGGGAGGGAGGGAGGGAGGGAGGGAGGGAGGGAGGGAGGGAGGGAGGGAGGGACAGAAAGAAAAGGAGGGGAGTGTTTCTCTGTCTGCAAACCCCACAGACACACACAGACACACACGGACACACACCCATATCGTTTCCATTTCCCTTCATCAGCATGGCATACACACACTCAAACTTTGCTGCACTTAAAGAGAGAGAGGTGTATGTACTGTGTGTTCGTTTATGTTCTGCTGTGTTTGTGTATGTGTGCATATACACTGAACAAAAATATAAAATGCAACATGTAAAGTGTTGGTCCTATGTTTCCCATTTTTTTTGCACAAACAGCTTATTTCTCTCAAATTTTGTGCACAAATTTGTTTACATCCCTGTTAGTGAGCATTTCTCCTTTGCCAAGATAATCCATCCACCTGACAGATGTGGCATATCAAGAAGCTGATTAAACCGCTTGATCATTAGATCACAGGTGCACCTTGTGCTCGGGACAATAAAAGGCCACTCTAAAATGTGCAGTTTTATCAAACAACACAATGCTACAGATGTCTCAAGTTTTGAGGGAGTGTGCAATTGGCATGCTGACTGCAGGAATGTGCACCAGAGCTGTTGCAAGATAATTTAATGTTAATTTCTCTACCATAAGCCTCCTCCAATGTTGTTTTAGAGAATTTGGCAGTATGTCCAACCGGCCTCACAATCGCTGGCGTCGTGTGGGTGAGAGGTTTGTTGATGTCAACGTTGTGAACAGAGTGCCCCATGGTGGCGGTGGGGTTATGGTATGGGCAGGCATACGGTACGGACAACGAACACAATTCCATCTATGGCAATTTGAATGCACAGAGATACTGTGACGAGATCCTGAGGCCCATTGTCGTGCCATTCATCTGCCGCCATCACCTCATGTTTCAGCATGGTAATGCACGGCCCCATGTCGCAAGGATCTGTACACAATTCCTGGAAGCTGAAAATGTTCCAGTTCTTCCATGGCCTGCATACTCACCAGACATGTCACCCATTGAGCATGTTTGGGATGCTCTGGATCGACGTGTACGACAGCATGTTCCAGTTCCAGACAATATACAGAAACTTCGCACAGCCATTGAAGAGGAGTGGGACAACATTCCACAGACCACAATCACCAGCCTGATCAACTGCGAAGGAGATGTGTCACGTTGCACGAGGCAAATGGTGATCACATCAGATACATTTTACATTTTAGTGATTTAGCAGACACTCTTATCCAGAGCGACTTACAGTTAGTGAGTGCATACATTTTTCATACTACCCACCCGTGGGAATCAAACCCACAACCCTGGCGTTGCAAGCGCCATGCTCTAACAACTGAGCTACAGGAGGGTTTTCTGATCCTTTTTTAAGGTATCTGTAACCAACAGATGCATATCTGTATTCCCAGTCATGTGAAATCCATATATTATGGCCTAATGAATTCATTTCCATTGACTGATTTCCTTATATGAACTGTAACTCAGTAAAATCTTTGAAATTGTTGAATGTTGCGTTTATATTTTGTTCAGTATATCTATATCTTTGAACATTTCGATTAAGGCAGCCGCCTGCACCTCTCTGATTCAGAGGGGTTGGGTTAAATGCAGAAGACATTTTGGTTGGATGCATTCAGTTGTGCAACTGACTAAGTATTCCCTTTCCCTCTGCAAAATCTTCCCAAATTGGTTCCCACTACAGCCTATTACCATGACTACCATAGCAGCATTGGAATAACGATATGCTGTTATTTTCTATTAACATGAATCCTTTTGAGCATGTCTACTTGGGTGTGGCAAAATGCTATAGTAATACTCCTTACTCTCTGAGACAAACAATAATAACAACAACGCATCTTTATCCTACCAGCTCTGACCGTATACATCATGTTACAGAAGACAATGAGGTTCATGTAACAATACAGCTGTTAATTTACATAAATGGGTCATCAATGGAAATTAGAGTATTTAAATATCGTAGTGTGTCACTATACTGTAAGTGATAACACATGCAGCTCACGCAAGCAGTGAAATACGTTTTTTTATTTTCACAACATAAAGTAAATCCTAGAGTAAAGTACCATGGCAACCCACTGCATAGCTACAGTAGCTATTTTCTCTGTCGACTCTGTACACTCTCTTCTGAACACCTTGTATTTACACAATAAAGCACAGACAACATAGGACTTTTTCACTAACACAAACACACATTCTCTCTTCCTCTCTCTCTCTCTCTCTCTGTCTCTCTCTGTCTCTCTCTGTCTGTCTCTCTCTCTCTCTCTCTCTCTCTCTGTCTCTCTCTGTCTCTCTCTCTCTCTCTCTCTCTGTCTCTGTCTCTCTCTCTCTCTCTCTGTCTCTCTCTGTCTCTCTCTCTCTCTCTACACACACATGTTATGTTCTTCTATCCTTGTGGGGACCTAAAATTAATTTCTATTCAAAATCATATTTTCCCTAACCCCTTACCCTTACCATAACCCTAACCCAAACCCTAAACCTAACTCCTAACCCTAAACCTAACCGTTACCATAATCCTAATTGTAACCCTAACCCAAAACCAAACCTCTAAGCTTAAAATAGACTTTGTCCTCATGGGGACGTGAGAAATGTCCCCACGAGGGAGAAGTTTCCTTGTTTTACTATCCTTGTGGGGACTTTTGGGGATTTTAGGTCCCCACAAGGATAGAAGAACCAACCCGCACACTCTGTATAATTAGAGTGAGAGAACAGTGCCTACTCGATGCATCATTTCAGATCAAGGTCACAAGCTGCTGGTTGTGTGTGAATGTTTACTGTATAATCAGTCTTATTCCTGAAGGGCAATGTGTCTGCCAGGGCCCGAAGGACTGCTAGGTCTCAGATGTACACCAAAACTTAGACATGTGTCAAGTGAAATGGATCCCATTTAAATGACTTTTTCTATTTAAGCTCACGAACAGCAGTATAGGGGTTGTCTTATGTCAGTATAGGTAGCTGTGTGTGTGTGTGTGTGCTGTCTTTGCTTGTGACACACAGCAATGTCAGCTGGTCTTATTCATGATTATTGAATGTGAACTTTAAGAAATTATGATATTAGAGACAGAATCTGATCAGGTGAAAAAAGTAAAACTCCACGCCAGAGTTGGGAAGGCATGATGGGAAAAAACAGTTGTCAGCCTCCCTTCTAGTATGGCCTGGTAACAATGACCTCACACAAACACACACATGCAGGCACACACAGAAAACATGACTCCGAGTTTGTAGACAGTCTTTGTTTGATGACCACCCAAACAAACACCCAAACAGCACCATACAGCATCCATCTGGATAATGTGAGGCTAGGCATTCACCAACACAAAAACCCAGAACCTCTTTCTCAAAAAACACATGCATAGTACACCACAAAATCGTATCCTATATTCATCACGTTAGCCTCAAACCATCTTCCCAGGATCACCTTCATAGAAGCGTAAAATCCCTTGCATTTATCTGGACAGGCATTATAAAGGATAGTGAGAGTCTCTATAACAACAGTAACTACAGGTCAGGGAATAAACCCCCGTATGACCCACCAAAGCTCAAAGAGGGCGTCCATTTTGTTTGTTTGTTTTTAGTGAAGCTCAGAAGAGATTTTCAGCCATCCCCTGCTGTTGTGAACAATACCGCTGCAGAACGAACCCCCCCCCCTCCCCCCCACCCAACCTCAAACGGACTGACTAATCTCTCTGGTGAGAAAAGGCCAAAAGGCCTAGGGGACAAGGGAGAGGGGTGGGGGGTTGGAGGTTAGATGGTAAAGGGGGTAGTAGGATAGTATGCCAAACATAGCTGTAGATAAAGGACAAGCTAGAATATACTGATGTCCCCATCAAGGGGGAGGGGGACAGTGGTTAGGGGGTTGGGCGTCAGTATGGCAGTCAGGCATAGCTTTAGATAAAGGACAAAGCAAAAGCAGACATTGTCAAGGTCCCCCATCAAAGACTGTAAAGTGATAGTTCATGCTAATCATCTGATTCATGCTGTGTATCTAATCGAACTAGACATTGTTGATGCGCCATCAGAGACCATTGAAGGTTTAACACTGCTGTGAATATAATCAACACCCAGAGTCTAATGTTGTTGTTTATCACTTCAGGTAGACAGACACAGAGACAGAGAGCAGCATGGGGTGAGAGTGGTGACAACGTGAGAGAGAGGACACACATCATCATCCCAGGACGACTAGCAACACACAGGAGAAGGGTTGATGAGTAGAGAGAGAGAGGTGAAGGAATAGTGGGAAAAAGCTGAGTGAGAGAGAAGTTAGGTACTACCTTAGAGGTGGAGTGATGGGGGGAAGGGGGAAGTGTGTGGAGTAGAGCCCTAAGTTCTAAGAAGACCATGCCGTTTGCTTTCTGGGCATTCTTTGACAGACAACAGAACTAGATACCAGGAAGTGTAGGTGTACTTACTCAGTATGTAGAGGGAGAGAGTGAGGCCAGCCAGACAGAAGCCCTCAAAGAAACGTAATGTGCTGAACATGGTCACGTTGAAGGAGAACGCTACACTCAAACCAAACACCAACATGAACAGCACCGAGACTATCAGGACTGGGTGACGACCAAACCTGAGAGAGAGAGAGAGAAAGAAAGAGAGGGGGAGAGAGAAAGAGAACGGGGGGAGGGAAGAGAGATGGAGAGAGAAAAAAAGAGAGTGGGATGGAGGGAGAGAGAGAAAGAAAGAGAGGGAGAGCGACAGAGAGAATGGGAGAGTAAGAAAATGAGAGAGAATAGAGAAAATAAGAAATGGAAAGAGACAGAAATTAGTCCAATGGTCTGGAAGAGAACATTCAGATCCCCTCCAGTCTGTTTCCCTCGGCAACCTGATCCTGGGTTAGAGGTCAGCAGGTCATTGGGTCAGAGTTCTGACACGGTTTTTCTCTAATCTATGTTGCTATAGCTACAGCTCATCCCACAGACAACTCAACAGGGAGATATGTGGGTGTTTTTCATAAGACACTGTCTATTCTCGGATGCCTGGGGGAGTGGGGATGCAGACACAGGAATGAGAACACATGTAGCAGATGGCTAAGTGCATCACTACTACTTTCCTGAGACCTAGAAGTACTGTCGCCCCAGATCCAGAAATGCCTTGGCTTTTTATGGGTCAGTGGTATTGACAGTGTTTCTTGAGTATGTTTTGTTACGTTGGGGAGAGTTGTGAGTTAGCGGTTGGAGCGGAATTTCCACTGTCACACACAAATACACAAAATGGAGAAGGAGAATGCTGGATGGCGTACCAGTCGGCCATGACGCCCATCACCAGGTAGCCGAAGATAGATCCCACCAAGAGAGAGAACTTGGCGATGTGAACCTTCCAGGCCGAATCACACACCAGGTTCCACTGCAGAGAGAAGTGGGAAATATATGTATTAAATATAAGTAATAATACACCAAACAACAGAAGAGAAAGAGAATGAGAGGGACATGAATACTGACATGTCTATCAACAACATGATGAATACTGACATGTCTATCAACAACATGATGAATACTGACATGTCTATCAACAACATGATGAATACTGACATGTCTATCAACAACATGATGAATACTGACATGTCTATCAACAACATGATGAATACTGACATGTCTATCAACAACATGATGAATACTGACATGTCTATCAACAACATGATGAATACTGACATGGCTATCAACAACATGATGATACTGACATGTCTATCAACAACATGATGAATACTGACATGTCTATCAACAACATGATACAGTATCACACTCCATAAGACAAAGAGTAATCATGTCATTTGTTAGAGACAAAACTAAAAGATCCTGAAGCACAACTTGGTTGGAGAGAGGAGAGAGAGAGAGAGAGAGAGAGGAGAGAGAGAGAGAGAGAGAGAGAGAGAGAGAGAGAGAGAGAGATAGAGAGTAAGGGAGAGATAGAAAAAGAGGGAAGAGAGATTGAAGGAGAGTAAAAGAGAGGAAGAAGGCTAGAGAGAGATGAGTATTGGGTATGATTGATAAATCTACTGTAATAGGTTTATCTATGGGCTATTTAAACCCAGCATTATCTGAGAAAGCAGATGTCTGGCACTGAACACACACACACACACACACACAGTAAAACTCTAAGAAAGGATCACACATACTAACAACACACACAGTTAAACTTCATCTCATATAAGAAGGTCCCTGTTTGAGATTAAATTGATATTTTGTCAAACCTGTTCAGATGCAGGTCAATGCGTTGGCGGCAGGTAGCTTAGTGGTTAAGAGCGTTGTGCCAGTAACCAAAAGGTCGCTGGTTCTAATCCCTGAGCCGACTAGGTGAAAAATCTGTCGATGTGCCCTTGAGCAAGGCACTTAACCCTAATTGCTCCTGTAAGTCGCTCTGGATAAGAGCGTCTGCTAAATGACTAAAATGTAAAATGGGTCAAAAGAGAACCTGCTACACCTACTCTTCTTCTATGATGGATTGTACAATAATCACATCCTCTGCTCTCATCAGTATCACAGAGTGGCCTAATAGGCTACACTGCTGTATATTACAATCGCATTAAACACTGTACACCCACAGTAGGATTAATTCAATTAGCTGGCATGGATAGTTATACTCCAGAGTGTAGTGTGTTTTTGATCATGTCAGCTGAGATATAAAAGTGGTTTGAAAATGAGTGGGCACCAGTTACTGTATGCTCTGAGGGCACACTGTGGTCTGTCTTACAGTAGGCCTATGGCACAGAATGTACAGAATGGAACATTGGCAGAGTACATGTGCTGTCCATGGTGCTGGGTAGACTAAACTCCACTGAGACCAGATTGTGCCCCATAGTTGCATAGGATGCCCTGTTAGTGATGCTGATGATTATTCAGCTTTTTCAGGACGCCGAAACAATCAGAGGGGAGAGGTATGGTATCTGGTGCACACTTGTTACCTTGGTTACCACGTTCTGACTGAGTCCTGTCTGCAGCTCGAGCTTCCACTCCTTGCACGCGCACTGCATGCCACCGCTGTCACCTACACCGTCTCGAGTGTTATTGTCTCGGGGGAGGTAAGGCACGGGTGTACCAATGCCACCGTTCGTGACGGTCACCGGTAACGTTAAAGAACCCACGGTCCAACTACTCCCGTTGACCAGAGGCTGTACGCACGTGCCGTTCGGTTGCGCCAAAAGGAAATAATCCGAAAACTGGCTAAATCCGATAAATAAAGCCGGTATCCACGTCAGGATCACGAGCTGCTTTTGGTGTTTCCCAAATCCCCCGAGAGACGGTAGTACTGAGCCGTCGACGTGCGGCAGCAGCCTGGGGGCCTGTGTCTGCTCCAGCGACATGAAGCCGTTCTCAATTGGCGGTTGGTCCCGGTCCTGGTGCTGCGCCTCTGCCACGGGCCGCTCCGGTCCCGCTGCCATCTCGGCAACAAAGAACTGCCAAACTCCGGGCGCTCTGCTGCCCTGTCCACTCGGCTGTGCTCTGCGTAAACCCTGTGTTACAAAGGAAGCCCAGGCAGACAAAATGTATCCAACAAAGACTGGGGAAGAATGGGGGTAGAATGGGGTCCTCTGATAGATTACCAAGCGGTTGCTCGTCACACCATGGTGCTCCGGTTAGAATGGGCTGACCGAATCACGGTTTCAGGTGGAGCCTGGGGCTCAGGGCTGAAGCGAGGACACCGGCAAGGTGTGGGCTCGGATAGGCAGGCATGCTCACCATGCTGAAGGTCTTTGTGTTCCAACGGGGTAGCATCCATCCATGTGGGGTTAAACTAGACACACAGGCAAAGAGGTGTGGGTGACTGATCGGCACATTTGCTAGCACCTCCACGCGCTCCACAGGTAACACACCTGTCCAGTCCTTGACCCCTCGCAGGTATAGCGGTGGTCAATGCTCAACTTTGCAGTCAGAACCAACCGTTAAGCCTATCCTACATCTTATATGGCACTCATCCAATATGAGATCACCGTTTGATTTCAATGAATATTCGTCCAGGTCTCTCCGTCCTGATTCCCTTGGCTTTGAACAAGTCGATCACACACTCCAATCCCGCTTCGTTTCGCCGGTAATCGATGGTGTAGGCTAAACGGTGCAGTGCACGCAGCCTCTGAGAATCAAGCCCCGCCCTTCCCTGTCGTTCGCCGCGCTGTGATTGGTCCGTTTTCACGGGGCGATTGCACCACTGACGCGCAATTGGGCATCGGTGCGTTAGCCTACCGAAACCGTGACAAAGACATCCTTTGTTTACCATCTGCCCCCTTTCCCTCAAAAGAATAACACGGGTTTGTGAGAAATACTATACAATTCATGTTTATCGTCAATTAGGTGAGATTTAGAGATTGACAGGAAATGTTGTGTTGGAGGCTATACGGATTTGTGTCAATTTAAGCGAAAGCCTCACTCGCACAGGCTACCCCGCCATATACCTGCGTTTATTATGTATGTCAGAATGTCTGACTCATAAATAGATAACAACGTTTGCATTTCTGGAGATGACAATAGCCTGTCACACAGATAGGTTGCAGCTCCAGCCCACTGTACAATTATGAGATCGTCTCCTCCGCAGGGTGATGTGTGGCCAGTCCTTCGCCAGAGGGCGCCAAATTATCACAAACTGTTAGAGTCCTTGCATTGCTCAAGGCTTGACAAGAAGTATGGTAATCTGTTATTTTAGAATTAATCTGATGCGTCACTTTCTCTCCCCTAATTTGTTTCCGGTGTGAAATGTTATTTGCTCAAATGTCGGGGAGAAATTGATGAGTTGAACGTTACAGCCAGGTTGTCAAAATTCTAGGCAAATTACTAATGTAGGGCTCCTGGTCACCATAGCTCAGGTGTGCCACGAAGTGATGATTATTAGAGGTCAGACATTAGTTGTATTTGAGGAAACCCCCAGTTTTCTCCACATTATCTGTTTCATAATCCGACTGCAAGGTATCTATGTAGTTTCATGTGAAACAACACACCATTTTATGATTTGATCACATTTCAAGTCATATATTCAAATGGCATATTCTATTTTCCCAGATGTTCAACCAAGGCCGTTTCCCCGATCCTGCACTGCAGCTCTGTAAAGATGCAGTATTACTGTATTGAACATGGAGGCAGTAGAACCTCATCATAACCTTCACTAGTTAGGATACAGTAGTAACAGTAGGCTAGTAACACAGCTAAACAGAACCATATGGCTCTCCAGCAAGGTAGTGGCTTCTCTCTCACATTCTCAATCTCTCAATCATTGCATTGGTACATTATTAGAAGATACATTCCTTCATAGAATGATGGGGCAAAACTTGACCTGATATTGAAAAACTTCACTAACTGACTTCATGACATTGAAATACAACTTTAAAGGGATAAAGTTAAGTTAAAGTTAAACTTGTGAATAGCTTCTGAATGCCTGACTATTGTTCAGCTCTGAAAAAAACAAACATCAGCCAGCCAGTAGTCAGTGACTTTCTGACAGCATGTCTATGTAATGATGTTATGAATAAAAAATGATAGACAGATCTGATTCTTAATTTATTGGTGTCGCCAACACATTGCTATGACATTGAGGTGGTATTCGGAGTGTGATTGGCTCTTTCACAGCGAGATGAGAACATGTGCTCAGCTTTCACTCATTTCTCACCTACACACCAGCACCTCGCCTCAGCTCGGCCGCCAGCTTACCCAGACATTCCTTCAGGGGGTTAGAGAGAGAGGGAGGGAGGAGGGGGGAAGAGGAGGAGGAGAAGGGCGTGTTACATATCACTGTCTCCCAACCACACCCTTGTATACCTTCACTCCTGACACACGCACGCACGCACACACACACACACACATTGTCAGGAATCGTGAATTTGCCCAAGGTGTGGAAATTGCTGATCCAAAAGATGAGGTGAAAGACTTAAAGGTTCAATAGACAAACAATAGACAGACATATGCATATGGGAAGTTGAGTATGGGGGGTCTAGGAGCAACCACCGAGTGCTGAAGCACGTAGCGTGTAAAAATCGTCTGTGCTCGGTTACAACACTCACTACCGAGTTCCAAACTGCCTCTGGAATCAACGTCAGCACAATACCTGTTAGTCGGGAGCTTCATGAAATGGGTTTCCATGGCCGAGCAGCGGCACACAAGGCTAAGATCACAATGGCCAATGCCAAGCGTTGACTGGAGTGGTGTAAAGCTCGCCTCCATTGGACTCTGGAGCAGTGGAAACGCGTTCTCTGGAGGGATGAATCACACTTCACCATCTGGCAGTCCGACAGACAAAACTGGGTTTGGCGGATGCCAGGAGAACGCTACCAGCCCGAAGGCACAGTGCCAACTGTAAAGTTTGGTGGAGGAGGAATAATGGTCTGGGGCTGTTTTTCATGGTTCGGGCTAGGCCCCTTAGTTCCAGTGAAGGGAAATCTTAACGCTACAGCATACAATGACATTCTAGACGATTCTGTGCTTCCAACTTTGTGGCAACAGTTTGTGGAAGGCCCTTTCCTGTTTCAGCATGACAGTGCCCCCGTGCACAAAGTGAGGTCCATACAGAAATGGTTTGTCTAGATCGGTGTGGAAGAACTTGACTGGCCTGCACAGAGCCCTGACCTCAACCACATCGAACACCTTTGGGATGAATTGGAACGCTGACTGCGAGCCAGGCCTAATCGCCCAACATCAGTGCCCGACCTCACTAAGGCTCTTGTGGCTGAATGGAAGCAAGTCCCCGCAGCAATGTTCCAACATCTAGTGGAAAGCCTTCCCAGAAGAGTAGAGGCTGTTATAGCAGCAAAGAAGGGACCAACTCCATACTTTTGGTCATGTAGTGTATCTGTAATTTTAAAAATGCTAAATATAACGACAGGTGCATTAGTGGGCGGAGCCACATCACTTTTACCTGCTGTGAGAACTAAGGTCAGTGGCCTAGTTGGGCTCAGATGTCAGGTGACAGATATCTGATCCTCCTTTTTCCTCTCCTCCTCCCCCTCTACTCCTCCCTCCTCCCCCCTTCCCCTTCTCTGTCTCACCCCCCTGGTGAGTATCCATGTCACACGGCTCACACAGGTACTCTATTGTCAGACATCACTCTCCCTCCACCCCTCCCACCTTTACCCATCACTGTGCCCCTGTTGACCTAACAAAGCGTTGCCTATCCACAGGATTATTTGTTAGAATAAAACAAACCCTGCAGAAGAGAATCAGATAATCACAAAATATCCCCTCAAGTATTGTGATTTGTGTTTATTTCTCATGCCAAGGGTAATTTGACTGAAACAACAAAGACGTGTTTGAACTGCAAACAGGTGGGTTTATGGTATGGGCAGGCATAAGCTATGGACAATGCCCTATCCCATCTTGACAAGAGGAATACATATGTAAGAATTCTGTTCAAATCAAATCAAATCAAATTTTATTGGCCACATGTGCCGAATACAACAGGTGCAGACGTTACAGTGAAATGCTTACTTACAGCCCTTAACCAACAGTGCATTTATTTTTAATAAAAAAGTAAAATAAAACAACAACAAAAAAAGTGTTGAGAAAAAAAGAGCAGAAGTAAAATAAAATAACAGTAGGGAGGCTATATATACAGGGGGGTACCGGTGCAGAGTCAATGTGTGGGGGCACCGGCTAGTTGAGGTTGTTGAAGTAATATGTACATGTGGTAGAGTTAAAGTGACTATGCATAAATAATTAACAGAGTAGCAGATAAAATCCTGCGACTTGTGACTGCAGGCCGCCCAACAACCTGCCCGCTTGACCCCATCCCCTCCTCCCTTCTCCAGACCATCTCCGGTGACCTTCTCCCCTACCTCACCTCGCTGATCAACTCATCCTTGACCGCTGGCCATGTCCCTTCCGTCTTCAAGAGAGCGAGAGTTGCTCCCCTCCTCAAAAAACCAACACTCGACCCCACTGATGTCAACAACTACAGACCAGTATCCCTTCTTTCTTTTCTTTCCAAAACTATTGAGCGTGCCGTCTTTAGCCAACTCTCTTGCTATCTCTCTCAGAATGACCTTCTTGATCCAAACCAATCAGGTTTCAGGACTGGTCATTCAACTGAGACTGCTCTTCTCTGTGTCACGGAGACTCTCCGCACTGCTAAAGCTAACTCTCTCTCCTCTGCTCTTGTCCTTCTAGACCTGTCTGCTGCCTTTGATACTGTGAACCATCAGATCCTCCTCTCCACCCTCTCCGAGATGGGCATCTCCGGCGCGGCTCACTCCTGGATTGCGTCCTACCTGACCGGTCGCTCCTACCAAGTGGCGTGGCGGGAAGCTGTCTCCGCACCACGTGCTCTCACCACTGGTGTCCCCCAGGGATCGGTTCTGGGCCCTCTCCTTTTCTCCCTATACACCAAGTCACTTGGCTCTGTCATATCCTCACATGGTCTCTCCTATCATTGCTACGCTGACGATACACAACTAATCTTCTCCTTTCCCCCTTCTGATAACCAGGTGGCGAATCGCATCTCTGCATGTCTGGCAGACATATCAGTATGGATGACGGATCACCACCTCAAGCTGAACCCTGGCAAGACGGAGCTGCTCTTCCTCCCGGGGAAGGACTGCCCGTTCCATGATCTCGCCATCACGGTTGACAACTCCGCTGTGTCCTCCTCCCAGAGTGCGAAGAGCCTAGGCGTGACCCTGGACAACACCCTGTCGTTCTCCGCCAACATCAAGGCGGTGACCCGCTCCTGCAGGTTCATGCTCTACAACATTCGGAGAGTGCGACCCTGCCTTACACAGGAAGCGGCGCAGGTCCTGGTCCAGGCACTTGTCATCTCCC